AGAGAGATCACAGTGGAGTCAGCTGTCTTAACCGTGGCTTGTGTACTGCACACATACCAGCTTCATCACTGTGTCTGTCACGCGACTTTGTTCCTCTTTCGGGCTCTGTCTTTACATTTATTTTGAAAGATGAAGCTCGCGATTATGGTAAGGGGCGTTACATTTCCGATGAGTGCTTGCGGTGTTCGGCCAATCACAATGCACTGGGTCAGCTGGCCAATCAGAGCAGACTGCGCTTGTCGGAAGGAGGGACTTTGTAGAAAACGAAGCGTTTGAGAGAGGCGGGGCATAGAGGACCTACAATAATATACAGTATTTGAAAAATAATGTGTTTTTTGAACATTAAAGCATGTCAACATATTCTGTTACACCAAATACACAAAATAATGATCTTTAAAAAAGCATATGACCCCTTTAATATCTCTTTCATAATATCTTACATAACTCATTTATACATAAATCACACTTGCATATATCTTTAGATTAATCAGATCTCTTTGTACTCCAGTTTTACTTGTACACTTTGACACTCGACATGAGCTGTTTTCTCCTAGATTGATGTAGCTCTATTAAAAACTATTTTTTTCCCATCATGCATCATTCAGGTCTGAACATAATAGAGCCAACCAGGAGCCCAGAGGTTCCACCTAGAACCAACAGCAGCTCTGTGGCCATTGCGATTCTTGTGCCTTTCTTTGCCCTGATTTTTGCAGGCTTTGGCTTTTATCTCTATAAACAGAGGTGGGTGCAATTTCAGCAGTGAAATTACTGATGAAAAAAGATGAGAAAATCTGATTCCTGATGGTCTTTTTCTTCTCATTTGATCGCAGGAAGTCTGATAAAGCGGAGTACAGTGGCTGCTCTGTGCATGAAAACAACAACGGCCAGGCTACATTCGAAAATCCCATGTACAACACCAATTCCAAATCCATCGAGGGAAAGGTCGTCCGCTTCGATCCCAATCTCAATACGGTTTGCACAATGGTTTGAGGGTTTGATGCTGTCAGAACGGTCACTTTTGGGTTGGTATATTACTTGTTTTAGTCTCTTCGAAGCAACTTTCAAGCACAGTTTGGGATGCGGTACTGACACAGCGACTCAAAGCTGTGCACAGATTTGCAGGAAAACGTCATATTCTTCACTGTTCGAGTGGAGAATTATATATTATCTACATCTCACTCTGAGAGTGTTGATTTTGTATTTAAAAGAAAAAAAAACAAAAAAGTGTGAGAGCAAATTATTTAAAGCCATTCCAAGGGCGTTCACACATACAGCGATTTGCTGCGTTTAAAAGTTGAGAAACGTTGAACTTTATGCAAGTCAACATAATACTGTGACTACCAGAAGAAGTGAAGACATTTGATGTGATAACGTGATCTGTCTCTTGTTGGATACTGTAGACAAAATGGTGAAGTTAATGTTCCGTATGATTTCTCTGCTCAAAAAAAATTATGCATGGAGAATATTGTCAGAAATCATGAGCGTTTAAAGTCCATTCATGCATTGATAATCATTCATTTACTTCCTGATGTGATACTTAAGTGAAGCTGCGATTTATATTCAAACTCTTTCCTCTGCAGAATGCTCATTTGTACCGGCAGGAAAACTGATTATTTCAAAACAAGCTTATTTTTACTTACAGCGCATCTCAGTGTGTGATGAAATGGCTGTATGTGTGAACGCCCCTTCAGACTGTGCACATCGTCTCATCATCGCAGTGCGCTTAACAAGTTGCTTAAGGAACATGAGCGTTCCTAATGGATGATGCTCACCATTCAAGCATAAACTTCCTCATGGAATTTCAACGCTCAAGTATTTTAATAAGGAATGATTGTTATTACAAATTGTTTGAACAATTTAACAAATTGTTTTAAAGGACAAGTTCGCCCCAAAAATGAAAAAATTCTGAAAATATGCTCACCCTCAAGCCATCCAAGATGTAGATGAGTTTGTTTCTTCATCAGAACAGATTTTGAGAAATTTAGCATTACCAGTGCTCACCAATGGATCCTCTGCAGTGAATGGGTGCCGTCAGAATGAGAGTCCAAACAGCTGATAAAAGCATCACAATAATCCACAAGTAATCCACACCACTCCAGTCTATCAATTAATGTCTTGTGAAGTGAAATGCTGCATGTTTGTCAGAAACAAATCCATCAAAAGGTTTTCTTTTTCACTTGCTTCCAAATAAAATACGAGTACTCCATCCATAATTTTGCTTTCTCCAGTGAAAAAGTTATCTCATCTGAATCAGGAGAGTCTGTGAGAATCTGCACAGATCAAGCACTGTTTACAAGTTAAAACAGTCCAAAACAGCTCTAAATCTATTTGTGGATTTTGATGCGAGGGACAACAGGAATGAAGTGTTATTATGGACTCATATTTTGGCCCAAAGTCACGGTTTTAAGTTCATGTAACTTAATGATGGAGTTGTTTCTTACAAACACTCAGCTTTTAGCTTCACTAAACATTCATTTGATGGACTGGAGTGGTGTGGATTACTTGTGGATTATTGTGATGTTTTTATCAGCTGTTTGGACTCTCATTCTGACGGCACCCATTCACTGCAGAGGATCCGTTGGTGAGCAAGTGATGCAATGCTATATTTCTCCAAATCTGTTCTGATGAATAAACAAACCCATTACAACTCGGATGGCCTGAGGGTGAGTACATTTTCTGCATATTTTCATTTTTGGGTGAACTGTTCCTTTAAAAGGTGAAGTTTGTAATTTTTTCAATATTAAAATATTTTCTCTAACTGTGAGTAAGCTATTCGTTGGTGACTTCCTGAAGAGCGTAACACTGTGGCTCTGTGGTGCTTTTCACAATACTCTTTTTGATCGAGCATCCTGACATCCTGACAACTTCAGACTCATCCAGTGGCGGTGGAAGGCGTCTGAGGGGCAGTTCAGACAGAAACACATTCTAGTGTTAAAAACAGTGTAACTAAAAATAAGACATGTTTATAGGTGCTTTATTAACCATTCACAATTGCTAATAAACACTCAACTTGATCAAATGTACTGTAAATATCTAATTTGGTCCATTATTTCAAAAATATCTTAAGTGCATCTTAAAGATGCAAAATGTTGAAAAAACAGTGAGATGCAGAGTAACAGCCAAAGGCATTCATTTAGCACTTTTTTTAATAAGCCAATTAAAAATAATGCAGAAATCCAAATATAGTTTTTGGAATGGGTCTTAAATATTTCATTTAGATTGTTTTCAATTTTAATAACTCAAGTACACTAAAATGATTTTTTTAGAAGTTGTAAATAAATTACTGGAGAACTATTTCAGTCTTTCCACTTTTTACTAAAATTCCACATTTAATTCAATGTGTTGCTTGTGGTTTCTTTATAATAATTTGTAAGCATTTACTAGCAATTTCTGATTTAAGTAAATTCTACACCACATTTTTTCAGTTTATGGTTTTGGCCATGAAAATAGCCAAAGAAGCTGGCATGGTGTTAGAAATACAAACAAAAACAGTGCAAATGGAAATGCAAGAATGTGTCTTGTGTGAACGGCCCATAAAAAAATTGGGAAACAGTCACTATTTTTTTTCAATTCTGTTTGGTGAGATATAAATTACACGCTTCACCTTTATATTACGGGAAAGGACTTTTTAAGTAAGTTCACTCATTCGGTTATACTTCATATTTTCTTTAGATTTATATTGAATATTCATCACAACTGTTTCCGATTTGCTCACTTTAGGATAACATCCGACTGGCTAAATGCTCTGTTTCATAACTCATAATAGTGCCTTGTATGATATTTCACTGGTGGGGGAATGGGTTCAATTTTCTTTTTGTTTATTAATTTATCAACTACAGTTCGTAATGGTTTAGTTGTTCTACAAAAAGTCACTTTTGCACATACCTGCCAAATATAGTCAGATATAGCATCAGTGCTATGTTTGAGTTCTTTGTGCCGCTACCCATAATGTCTTTTCATCAACAGTTTGTATATTTATACAGATGTTTTCGTTCCTTCAGTGGGTAAGTGTTGAGCGGCATCGTCGTGCTGTGTTTGGCTCTCACTATTCCTATTAGTGACACGAAATATCGAACACTGTCAAAGCTTTAGGATTGCTTTTAGACACTGGCTCCTTCAGATGGGTCCATCACTCTTGTAAATGCATTCATGTCACATGTACAGATATTTAAACTTTTTTGAAAAGAGTTATATTTTTGTGAGAAATTTGTCAAATAAAAGGTTATGTGAATATCCATTTGTAAATGCCATTTACAAATAAAAAAGTAAATTGCTTTTCTACATTCGCTGGATTATTTCTTGAAATACTCACAGCTGTGTTAGTATGATGAATGTATGTGGACTGACTACATAAAATGTCTTAATCACAGACAAATTTAATGGTTGCATCCCATTTCACATACTTATATTATGGTTTGGTGAAAATTCCTTTCAGTTCACAAGTATGATTTTGAATTGTTGAATTGGAATTATGTGAATATGGAACTTGCTAATTTTGTTTATTCGCTGATAAATGTACTAGTACAATATACGTACTCCACCTTTCAAGTTTGTGGTCGGTAAGATTTTTTTTTTATGTTGTTGAAAGTATCTAATCGTCAGGCTGCATTTATTTGATCAAAATGCATTTAAAAAAAAATGTAATATTGTTAAATATTATTGCAATTTAAATAAAATACTGCAATGTATTATTATTAATTTAAATTAATACAATTATAAAAAAAATTTATTATTAATTTCAATTAAAATATTATTTTAAATATATTGTAATTTTTTGTGCTGAATTTTCAGCATCATTACTCCAGTCTTCAGTGTCACGTGATTCTTCAGAAATCATTCTAATATGCTGATTTGAAGCTCGTGAAACATTCCTTATTATTATTATTAATGCTGAAAACGGTTGTGCTGCTTCATATTTTTGTGGAAACCAAATGATTTGTGACATAAAAGTGGCTGATTTCAATTCAATTCAAAAAACTTTATTATCTATCAACCAGTGATAGAAATGTATCTTAGGTAAAAAGGCTCACATGTGCACAGTTCACAATAATAATACACAATATTAAGACACAAGATCCTGACAAAAGTAAAATTTAAAAATAAAAAAAAAATAAAAAAACGGACCCAAATAAATAAAATGATTAATATTGACAAAAAGCACCAACACTGAATTAACTCATTAATCAGATAATAACAAATTATTTGTACAGATTGTGCTAACATAAATGTATGATGATTATATGGGTGTGCATAACTCTGGGCATTTACTTCATTTAAAGTCATTAGTTAAAAATAGTTTTTTAGAAAAAAATCTGTCTGTAAATATTTCAATATATATAAACTTATATAAAGACTAATTAAGACTGTAATTGTTTTGAGGTAATTAGTATTTTCGCCCAGATTAGGTTCATTCATTAAGCAACAGCTTCAACCTCACATTCCTCACCCTTTTTACATCTAGAAAAGTTGAAAGTCAAAGATCAAAACCTTTACGCAAGAGGTTGTGGATAATATTAGCACAACATTAGTATGTAGGGCTGCACACTGGAACTTTTATGTTTGTTACTTTTTTCTGTCATTTAGGTCACTCTAATTCAAATCCTGCATACTTTTTAGGGTGGATAGCATGTGGATTGGGACGCAGGGTTAGTCCAGCATGATGATGTGTCGTGCATGGGAACTTGAACACTAGCAGTATTTGAAAGCTACATGCAACATGAAAGCGGAGGATCAAACAGATCGTGGGACTTCTTCACCGTGGAGCTTCAAACTGGATGTCGTTAGTTCCTTCCAGAATTGAGAAGTGATCAATTATTGATGAGGAATGCTAATGGAGTGAGCGAGACAGGTTTACAGGCGGTGACGGGCATATAAACAAAGCTGAGGCTGATCAAATGGAGCACCATACAACAGAGAAGCTGACGGGACAATTTGTCCAGTCCCTTGTAAATAAAATCCTGTGAATTAAAAGAGAATGAGATCAAATTGAGGAAGAGAGCAGCAGTTCTCAAAGACAACAGTGTTAGACCAACAATGAAATGTTGCTCAGGAATGAAATGCATTGCCTTTGGTTTTACTTTGGCACTGACAAACCAAAGCTCTGTGACCTATGCGTTCACACTTGTCAGTATTTGGGATCAACAACCACACAACTTCAGGCATGATTCTCAAACTGTCCTGAATTCCTGTATTCTATGCGCA